TCAGTTTTCGCACTAGACAACAAGCACAAACGATAATTGAAACAATTAGCGAAAGTAAAATGACAATATTATGTTGCTCGAATGACCGAGGACCGGGCTGTCAGCTAATTACTACAAAAAATGTCACTGGCTCGCTCACACTGTGCACATGTCTATTTTGACATAGTTTGCATTTTATGTATAATAGTACAACTGTGCGGTAATTATATTATAAAATTGTCATTTTAATTCTCTACGCGGCTATAGGAGGTCACAATGTTATAATCGTACGTATTAAACAGCTACACTGAAATAGGGATATTCGATCATTCGTTAAACATCGATGTTTCAAATCCATTCGATGTTTATACGACACATCGGATTGATTCGGTGTTTTGACAAAAAGAAATTTTATTCAACGCATCGACTTTTTTTAAATAAAAGCATCGTATCAGTAAAAACTCTTTTTATTCTTTTTAGTAGCTGTAGAGCTTCTTGTGAAAGAGTTCGTCCAGGGTAGTAAACTGATGAAATTACAGGTACATGGGACTTGTCAATTTATGTCTCAGGGTGATGAGCGCAGTGGCAGTGCCCCCAGATCTTTGCGATTTAAAGCTCTGAGTAGCACCGCAACTGTTATGGACAGGCGTGTAGCTTACCATCAGGTGCACGACTTGTTCGTCCCGTCACTAGATATTAAAAAAAGAAAACTCTAACTCTGGCGTGCCTCTGTATCTATGTATCTGTATGTATGATATAATATGAATTTGATTTAAGTAAGTAAGTCATTAAGAGTTTGTACATTGACTTACAAACAAATGGACGACGGGTCTAATACAAAAACTACGAAAAAAATGTCCCAAGTCAACCTATTTAAACGTAGTGACATGTCAAGGAACATGAAAAAGCTAAAACGTTGAATTTAAATTGTAATGTCATCGCAGTACTGTCTAATTTTGTTTGCTCCGCTGTCAGTCGAACAAACGAAGACTAGAGCGTGAATGACACTCTGTATACGATTTTAACGCCCAATAAGTTCGGACACTTTTTAGCGCGGACCCGACGTCCATATAATTGTAAGTCAATAAGTTTGTACAGTCAAGAGCACATCAAGTTTGACACTTTATGCTTTGGACCGTTCTTATCGTAAGCGGCATAGAGTTGGATTCAAGTCTTAAGTGTAAAGCTTGACGTGCTCTTGACCCTGTACCTATTTATGGTCCTAGTTTATTTCATCCTTGTATGAATGAATAATTTAATAATGTATCCGAACTTTTTTTCCGAAAATGTGTCTATTTTAGATAGTATATCCAGTCGCAAATAAACATTCCTACAAGAAAGATGATATTTGTCTAATGTAAAAACATTTCTATTAATTTGTAGTTTTCTTTTTCACTCATAAAGGTATATCTTACCGATGCAATACTATATTCTTTTATAAGTTTCTGGCTTCTCTTTAATAGAAATCGGCCAATGTCCAGTACTACAAAACTAACACACAATATCATTAAATTAAACACGTCTCTACAGCGACAGCCTCACTCTATTGCTGTAGTGTTCAAACATTCATGCATAGTTTCGATGTTTTTTTACATCAAATGAAAACATCGATGTGTTTTTTTAAGTGGACATCTCTACTGAAACCCCTAATGAAAATAAATAACGAACTCACTCATAGCCCTGCACTAGGGAAACACTGTATCGCAGGTGCCACGGACACACTTATGGACAGGCGTGTCGTGTGGCGTGGCGTGGTGGTAACACCAGGCGCACGATTTGTTCGTCCCGTCATTCAGTTGGTATTATAAAAATCCGGATCGTGTTAAGTGGAGATCGATAGTCTCTGCCTACCCCAATAGGGATCCAAGAGCGTTTTTTTAAAATGATATATGTATAGTGGTAAGCGACACGTTGTCAATTGACAATTCCGATGCCACTCAGAGATAATTTCACCTTGCCCGCCCGTCACCTTGAGACATAAGTTGATAAGCGTGTAATTTCACCAAACTGAACGTAATTATGCCCAGTTTTCATGTTTGTTTAATACCTATAAGAATAAATGTAATAATTAATTAAAACCGAAGCATAGTCAAGTGTCAGCCGAGGTGGTCTCTAATTATCACAAAAACTGCCCACCCTCGATGCGTTCAATCTACGGTGACATATTTTGGGTCTCGACGGCCTTAAAGCGTGTTGCTATGTTACAAATTTATTGTTCACAGTTTTTAGATGGATGAATTGAGAACGATTAGATTTTTTTTTGTCAAGTAGTAGTATTTTTCGGATGTCGGTTATTTCTATTCACATAATGAAATGATAGAAAAATGCTTAAATTACTTTGGAAACCTGCGGTATCTACAACTTTAATTTTTTTTATGAAATCAAGTGACGGGACGAACTGGTCGTGCGTATGGTGGAAAGCGACACGCCTGTCCACAAGAGTTGCAAAGCCACTCAGAGCCTTAAATTACAAAGATCTGAGGGGTACTCCCTCTGCGCCCGTCACTGAGACATAAGTTGACAAGTCCTATGTGCTTGTAATTTCACCAGCACCGTTATCCTTTAAAACCGGAACGCAGTAACGCTCGCATTAGGTACCTACTACTACGGCAGATATAGGTAAGGTGGCAGTACTTCCCTTGACGAACTCTTTTACAACTCTACTGTTACAAATTTAAAAAATTCTCCTACAACATACGACGTTATTATGATTTTAATCATACGACATACGACGTTATTATGATTTTAATCATAATAACGTCGTATGTTGTAGGAGAATTTCATCATAATATCATCATAATAATAATCTACACAAATACAAGTAAATATTCGAACATAAGAAAGAAGGTAGATGTGGGATATAGGAGCGCAAACTATTTAAAACCCGTGCTATTCCTCTTTCGGTAAAATTACAGGCAGTAAACTAAAATATAAATAGGTATCTGATAAAAAAAAAATAGCTACACCTTACTCTTTATTTAGAGTTAAATGTCGTGCAATTGTACTTATTTGGTTTTAATATTTTCATTAGTTTTATTTATTTTTTATAATACAAAGTGACGGAAGGAACAAGTTGCGCTCCTGGTGGAAAACGACACGCCTGTCCACGACAATTGCAGCTTTAAATTACAAAGATCTGACTGCGCCCGTCACTCTGAGACATAAGTTGACAAGTCCCATGTGCCTGTAATTTCATCAGCACCTTTATTTACCCTTCAAAAGCGGAACGCAGTAATGCTCACATTATTTAGCGGTAGAAATAGGTAAGGTGGCAGTACTTCCCTGGACGAACTCTTACACAAAGAGCTCTATTGCTTCTATTTTTTATTTTTGCCTCCATAACTTAATAGCTAATAATAATATTATAAGTCTTATAAATTTAATTTTTCAAAACATGCAAAATTAAAATTGAGTTAAAATGTTTGAAGTTTCATATTTAAATATAAAATATGTATTTATTGGAAAGCCCATCTCTTGGCGTAGGCCTCCTCCAACGTCACCGTCCGCATCTAGTCGCATCCACTTACTCCCACTACCTGGGTGATAATGTCTCTTCAGCGTCAGCGCGGCGGCTCTCGCGGCATATGGTTCAGTCGCGGGTACTTTTATTTTGCAAATACCCGCACTAGTCACTCTGTCTTCAATTTTTATGCTCAACATATTTCTTTCTACTTCTGTCTCACTAACTTACCAACGAACAAAATATAAAAGCAGATAGACGTAGAATCATTTTTCGCAACTTTTTATTGAAAATTCTTTTGATATTTCAAATCTAGTGAATTATGTCGCGTGGTATCAATTTGTAATGCTAATAAAACCGATGTCACACGGCGCGTCTGTAGATATTTTTCGTTCATCGAATGCGGTGTGCGATGCGCGTGGGCAATGTAGGTACTTAAGTATGTGATGCGGTTGAGTGGAGACGGATGGATGAATGGAATTTCGGATGAGTAAGTAAGCACATAATTCTTGTTTCAGGTTATTATTTTTGATACATTGTAAAATCATTTTTGTCAATTTGGGCACACAGAATACATATTGTTCATTTCTTAAAGGTATGCTAGAGGTGTAGGATATATGGGATAGCACACCTTGACTTTTACTGTAATAACAAATCCTTCCGGTAGTAATCCATAGTGGGGTTAGGTGTTAAATAATGTTGCGAGGCTCTAAAAGCTACTCTCAAACACTGGTAATATCAAACAGGGGATGTAAAGTTATTATATATTACATTTTAGAACATAGCATTCAAAATGGAACGTGATATCACGAAATAAATCTTAGTTCAGAACGGACAAACATATAGGTATTATAAAAGTAATGATGATGAAGTAATATTTCAACCGTCGGGAGTATAAGGTGACGAGTAAAAATTTCACCAAACTCATAGGAAAAAAATTGCTCCAAAATCGTAATAGCGATGTGCGAGATATTCCGTTGACAACATCATTTTTATCATGGAATCCCAAATTTTTATAATAATGATTTCGTACCTTGATGACAGCTTGAACGACACACATTAATAGGGTAACACGTACCCTGTCGTTGCCTACATCTATTACAGTCTTAGCATAACAATTTTACCGTTGCGCCTGTACTTGTACTAACTTGAAACTTGGGAAAACAATTAAAATTCCGACCTTCACTACTGGATGATTAATAGCGCAAACTTCAAATAAAATTGTTTTTGTATAATATTTTAAACAAATCGAGTTTAAAAGATTAATTTGAGATTAAAGATATGTTGAACGCACACTGAAAACTTTCTGTAACTGATCGACTCCTGCTACATATCCCTTTGCTAATCACTGACTTCTTCACTTAAGCTTTTATTGTTCATTGATCTCGGCGCTGGATCTCACTTTAAGAAACACTCATAAAAGTTCAAATTCACTGCGAAGAACACTTATAACTTTTCCTTCCTAAGTAACAAGTTACCGACATCACGTTTGCGAGCCCTTGGTCGCAGACGAAATGAATGAAACACTATAGAGTAGTAAAATAAACAAATAGGAACTGACCGTCGATGTGCCGCGGCTGCTGCCACTCTCGCCACTCCTGTCCCTCCATCAGTTCATTATTTTTTCGGCGACGCGATAAATCTTGCACGCGCGCGCGCAGCCGCGAGAGGAGCGCTTCTGTCGTCGGCGCGCGTCGCCGCCTGCGCTTGCACACGCCCACTGACGCCCCACGAGCCTTTGTTTATTTGCTGCCTACTTATGTACTGCTTTATCTCATTTTCATATTTACGAATAAGTAATTCGGTTTAAGAACTATAATATGCAAAAGGAAGCTTTTGCATTTCTACTTTGTGAAATTGTGCACCTATATTTATTACATTTTGAGATTTAGTCTTCTTTATGGGAGACCTGCGCGGTCGATGATACTTATAATTGTTTTTGTGCTGGTTACTTCATTATCTATACTTGAATTATTTATACAATCTGAAAAAGAAATGCATCGGATTTAAGTTTTATTTTTCTCTAGACACATTTAAACCTATGACCGCGCTTATCCCTCCTAAAAAATTCACCTGTATTTCGTATTTTGCAATGGCGAATGTAGAGCATTTTTTATATTACAGAAACTGGAAGGCGGTAAGACAGATGGATAATGGTAAGTGTCTCTTATTTCACAAATACATTACCGCATGCACACAAAAATCATAAGTTTCCATGTCTGTGATAGAACTCTATTTTTAGAGTTGATTCTTGCTTCCATTCTGGTCTCAGTGCAGTAGAAATAAGTTGAGTGGTAGTACTATACTCTACTCAAGAGGATTCTGCCTCTATAACCAACGATCACCTCCAAAGGAAGATAAATATAATGGAAAGTTTCGTCGCCAAGAGCATAGCTTTTTAAATGGTTAACCAATACATCTATAAAAAGTATATGAATGATATGTCATGAATTTAAACGTAAAGATAAGATATATAACATTTTTAATTGAAACTAAATTTGTTAGATTGATCTCCAGAATAAGCCCTTTCTGTTTCTGTGTCAGTGTCATTTCTTTTTACGATAAAAAAAAGTCGTGCCCCTAGTGATTAGCGACACGCCTACCTATCCATGATATTTGCAGTGTGGCACGGCTTTAAATCGTAAAGATCTGAGGGGTGTAACAGCAATCCTTTACTCTAGGACTTGAAGTCCTATTGCCTGTAATTTCACCAGCACCCTTTCCCTTCGAACCCGACCGAACGCTGTAATAATCACATTAATAACGCACACGTTCATAGCCACAAATTACACCCAAACTCTGGAGAGGAATAAATTAAGGTCATACAAATATTTCTCCCAGCCTGGGAATCGAACCCGGGTCTTCTGCGTGGCAGACCTGCAAGGTAACCATTCGTTCAAGGAGGCATTTAAACTGCTTGGCGGCAGTACTTCCGTAGACACGATACTCTTTTACAAGGCACTCTGCTGATTGCATTCTACATTTCTTAGTATGTCCTCTTAATGTACCAACCACAAAATATTCACATGCTCCTACTATTTTTAATAAGGGATACCTACCTTGCGGCACATTGTTTACGTTTTAGCAGAAGATTCATCACTCAGTGCTATTGATAAACAATGTTCTGGGTAATACGCACTTTGATGATATATTCTTTTTTAAGTTACTGCCATAATTGACAGTATAAAAGGACTATCATTATTGGTACCTTAACATTAGAGCTATCTTACTTACCTATATCTGTGAATAGATCTGTAAAAATTATGTGGAGTTATTCAGCTGAGAAAAATAGATAGAATAAATTATTTTTAATTACTATTAAATTATTGAGCTTTTGATTTATGGTTCTTTTTGCCTTCGGACCGTGGAAATTGAAATGGTCACTTTCCAAAGATGAGAATATTGAATGAGTGCATAAGTTATAATATAATTGTATTATAATATTATACATTAAAAAAGGTCGCAGCAAACAGTAAATCCAGTCAAAAGGTCTATGCATAAAATCTTTTGTGAAAATGTAGAGGCAGAGTTCTGCTCCTCCTCATTAATAGGTTCCTACGCTATTTTACAAGGCCATAATTCCGAACGTCGAAAAATGGACTATAAAAAATTCTGATTATAAAAAACGAATGTACAATCCATGAAAACAACGCTTCAATAATTTCGCTAGTTTTTTTATCCATAATTTTGAGTTTGAAACTAACTTTCTGCCATCAGGCGGAGCTTACGTCTTTCGTCTCTCTTTAACGTGCCTGTGTCAGAGCAAGATAAAGATGGGGGGCGGGGCGTCGTATTTAAGGTGACGATAGATCTGCCCACACGCAGAAAAAGTTCGGGGAAAAGCGAAATAAAACAAATAACCAGTTAATAGATGTTTAATGAATCACTCAGTGCTGCCAGGATGAATGCAAGCGGATTTATCTTTATAGGAACCTGATTTGTAGGAAGCATAGATCTAAGTTCTAGATCTGTGTATTGCTTCATTTCTGCCGAACCGATTCTCAGCTATTGTTTTGTACTTAATTTATGATCCTTGTTTCGTAAATACATACCCTTTAAACTTCAAACGGTTAGGTACTATTTTAAATATATTTTTTCTGTAATTTTAATTTCTCCGTATTTTGTTAAAAAGTTAATAAAAGTCATAGGAAATGAATCTATTTTTCCGGATTTAAATTGCGTATATTTGTTTTTTCAAACAAACCAACGTTTCAACAACAGTCGTAAACCGTGACCATGGGACCTGTAAAGGGCCCGAAATGCGGCCTGAAAACCTAAGAACTCGGTAATTAGAGTCGTTAGTTCGTATTGAAATTTGTAATTAAATAACTTATTTTATGTAAAATAGTTTATTTTTGCTTGCAATGTTTGCATTATTTCCTCAGTAACTACATTTCCTAGTTCCAGGGCAGTGTTACACAGTACATATAGTTCATTTTTGGTTCGCGTACACAGTTCGAGTCGTTGCATGGCTGGATATTTACGGCGATGCGCAGGCGACGACAGCGCTAACGACGCGTCTTCCGCTCGTCTGTCCATCACCAGTTGCCAATGCAGCGGGAACCATGTCGTATGCTCCCCATTTTTAAAACAATTTGTCGAAATCTGTATGACAAAGGACGAATTATCCAGCGAAGACGTAATGGCACCGCTGGTGATCGAGTAAAAATTAACTTCAGATAGCAGCGTGGGATCTTTTTACTGGATACTGTTAAAAGTTACACTAATATTGTAAGTGGAAAGTTGTTTGTAAGCATTTCTTTTGCTCAGATTTATACTCTTTAACTGTGTAGATGTATAAGCGCTCCATAACAGGTGATAGTGAAATACATACTGAACATTGGTATACACTCTACGTGTGTCTAATATTGTCCAAGAATTTCACTATTTATCGGATTGTATGGTATCCCTACAGCATAGCTGTCCCTACCCTACGCTAAGCACCGTGTTTGTTTACAGCTGCGCTGCGGTCGTAATCGTAAACTATTGCATCGTTCGCCTTGTCGCTTGTTCGTGTTGTTGTTGTTTCGATGCGTTGTAAAATTGTATGTGCTATTCTTTGTTTTCAGAAATTATAGTCGAAAAGTGACTGCTATTGAGAAATAAGACATTCGTCGCCAAAATTTATTTACACTGAAATATTTTTTTTTAATCTAAAAATTTTCTAAAATAATCTTTAAAAACTAAACTCTCTAACATCTTGTCACTATAGTGGTTACCTATCACAAGCTAGAAACATGATTTATAGAATTTTGTTTCTCCGAAAACCTTTAGACTTTTATTGAATAGATTTTGTTTCATTTGTCCGAAAACATGTTACGGTTTTTTTTCATTACACCATTTAATGTTTTTTATTTCCGATTTTTATTTCCCCAACCGTTTGACCAATGGTTTTTATTTTGTAAAAAAACGATATCCATGATACATTTTTGTTATATTATTTCTTATTACAGGTACTAAAAGTATTAGAACGTGTTGCACAATACAACTCGTCAAATTAAAGAGGTGCGTGCATCTTTAGAAAATATGGTAAACGAGATGCAAGTTAATTTGATCGAGTTGTAGTCACTCTCTTCGCTCGATCGGATCGTGCTGCTTTTTCATATACTAACCTAACCTAAACCTATAGGAGGGGGTCGTACCGTCTAGGTAATGCAAACAAATTCGGCTCTGGCACTCGCCGGCCGTTACCGCGACACGCTCGTTACGCTCGCTCGGCTCGTACGGCTTTTTCATATACTAACCTAACCCAAACCTACAGGAGGGGGTCGTACCGTCTAGGTAATGCAAACATACAAAAACAGGCTCTGGTACTTTCCTCAATTCAGTTATAGCTTATTTATTGAATAATTCAAGACCATTGTTTTTAAATTACATTTCAGATGATAGCAAAAACATAGCAGAATGGTATGACGAAAATTACGTAAGTGGACTTGCTGTGCAGCAGCAAAGTACAGTCGTCCAGAATTTTGGAGCGGTATGGTAAAATTGTATGGATACAATTTTATCTAAGAATAGTAATTTTGTCGAAACGAATTTTAAGCAATCTAAATTATATGGAAAACAGACAGTATAACAAACATGATTAGACTAAACAAACTTCTGCCCAAAGAATACGTAAGTGTAATAATTATTCTAACAATAGGTTTTCGGACAAACGATACTTCTGCTGTAAGACATTTCTGTGTTGCAAAATTATATCAAAACTGTCATCGCACTAATGAAAAAAAGTCGAACCGTTTTCGAACTGACGAATTTCGGAAAAAAGAAATTATAGTTTGTGATAGATTACCCACTATAGTGACACTATAGTGGCATTATAATGCCTAGCCGGTTTAGTCACGAACTTAGTCAACCAGACTGTATGGCGCAAATACAACGTGCTGTAGGTACCTACGGATCGAAATCCCGAACGTCGTCGTCTGTGAACCTTGGTCAAGGTGTAGGATTATTTTTATATTGCAAATGTAGTCGACTCCATATACCCATCATCGGATTTCAGGTGAACGGCCGGGGTGCGCGCACGACGCAAGATGGCCCCATATATCCGTCATCGAACGGTCTGATGCGCGCCAAAATAAGATTATCGGAATATTTGACACACGCGCACGCTTTACGAGCACTAGAATCTTTATGAAGATACGATGACGCATTTGAGATTGTTATTT